CATCTCATTGTGAATTAATAGTCTTGGCCTTGTATTACAATAATTTATTAATTGGTTTTGAGACATTTTACACTCTCCTGGGGTCTCTTGAAGTGTCTCCCTGGCATTTTTAACCTTGATTAACTGTACCTACTCAATACAGCTTAGTGAAATCTACCTTCTGCTCTTCTCTCATATAAGGCCTCCCTAGCAATATCCGCCACTCTTTCCATTAAATATCTCCAAAAAAGCTTGACATTATTCATCAACAATCTCACTCACATAGCTAACATGTCTGCTAAACTTTAACACCTAATCATTGCCACAACCCAAGGCTAAATGCCCTAATCCCACAACCACCATTTTCCTGTGTTCCTTGACTAGGCTCTTCATGGACTTAATTTGATTCAGTTCTTAGAGAGGAATTTTTCCAACCAATCCCATTGCTTTCGCTGAGCCCTTTAGTAGGAACAGTCAGTCACAGGGGGCTTTGAAGATATTTCCTCTGAAGGTGTCTCACTGGAGATCCCAGTATCTCCATTCTCTGCTCCGTTGCTCAGTGATATCTTCTCCAGTGCTGCAAAGTGGACACAGATTCATATGAATAACAATTAACAATGGCAAGAAGCATCCCTCATAACCATAAAACTGTTAAATCATGGTGTCTAAGCTTGTTTTAATCAGAAGCTTGAGGTGGAGAGGAGGTATGATTCCATTACAGGGTTTCAATGAATATTATATTGTACTTTCTAGGAACTATACTGTAGTTTCTCACTGGTAACAGAGCTACCTTATGTAACCTTGGTTCAATTAAAACAAACCATGCACTGAGTGAACCATCCACATAATTTAGTTGGGCATGATTTTACAATCTAAACTTTTGTTGCTGTTGTACAGCTTTTTCCCCAGAACCTGTTTGTCTTTTTTCATAAAAAGCGACTGAGATACACTCTATTCCTTTTTTGGTACAACAGAAAAAAATGATATATACATAACTGGCATTAAAGGAGACATGTGAGACATATGCCTAACCAGAAAATCCGATCAATCACAAGAGACTGGTGGACCAGCTGGCCAATCAGAGCAGAATGGGCTTTTTTGCGAGAGGGGGCAGGAGCTAAAACCAAATGTCAGATGAGTTGCAGCAATAACTGGTATAAGGAAACTGAAGCCTTTTCTGAACATTAGAGCAAACAAAACTTTTCAAGTAGAATCCCAAATTAAAGGCATGAACCTGAAAATTAGTCAAATATGTCTCCTCTAAAACACAGACTGATAATACAAGATGACAGTCACTAAAACTGTCCAATGAATGACATGCCTATCAATCTGTTTAACTCGATGTTAGACACATAACCCACACATAAGCTCTTTGAGTACTAGAGTAATGCTGACTGGCTGGTAAGCATGTATTTCCACAAAGGTAGTTCCACCTGTCATAACCGGTTGGTTGGACAAAATAACTAATAATAAAATAAATAATTTTCATCAGCCCAAGCAAAAATGGTTGACTGGGGAGGTATCTCACTCATATTGCTTTAAGACCCGTTCTATGTTTCACTATGGAATGTGGTAGATTCAAGATTAAAGACTTTTTTGTCATGTGAACAACAAGTACATTTAGCAGTTGCTGGCAATGAAATGCTTGGGTCACAGGCTCCCTTTCAGTCACGTCTTAAAACAATCCACAAGCAAAAAAATAATAAAATAAAAATAGAATGGACAAAATAAAATACAATATATAACATAAAACTAAAGTGTTAAAATTAAATATGATAAAATATACAGCTAAAAAGTAGTGCAAATATTTTACTGAAAAGTAGCTCCTGTATTGCCAAACAAGCATATCTAGCATCCAGCAACCAGCAAGAGAGATGCTCTGTTCCAGTTAGGACTCCAAGACTGAGATGCCTAGCATAGAAATGAAAACAAAGGTAAAAGGCAGCATAGATGCCCTGAAGATTAACTCACCTCATTAAGACTAAAGCCTAGTTTATGCTTCACGTCGACGGCGTAGGTTCGGCGTCGACGTGATGCAGTCGTTGAGCATTCGAAGTTCTGCGTCGAGGGAACGCGTTGCTCTGCAATTCACAGCCATGTCGCTAGGGGGTATGGCGGTGTGTTTGTCTGGTTATAACCGAATCCTCGCTTTTTCTTCCGTAAAGTAAACAACAGTAAACAATGGCGACCGAGGTGGAGCAGCTGTATTTGGAGTTGGAGCTCATCAATATTGAAGAACAAATGCTTATATTGCAAATGTTGAAGCGCAGGCGACAGAGAAGAAGTTTGCAGAGGTGGTTTTTACGATATGGTGTTTCTTTAGTCTTGCACATAAAAACACAACAACTGCTAATATGATACCTGTGCACAGAACAGTATTCACATATACTACAAAGCCCCTGAAGAGCAGGACCACACCCTTGTTCAGGGCCCCTTGATGTGCATCAGGGAGAGAAAGCACTTAATGCTGCAGGTATAGTCTGCATCCTGATGGTCAATGAGCCACTGTAGTTATATTATCTGTTCTCACTTAGACACAATCACCCTCGAGCAACAGAATGAAATGTTTCAGAATCACTGCAGAGAGCTTTCAAAAGCTGATGTGAGCTTAGTGCAGACCATTGCTCCAGCAGTCCTCTGGCAGAACATCACTAATAAGTACTTTCCTGGAAAGTTCAGAGCTTATAGTTCAGGAAAGGCAGGGCTGTCCCGTGAAACAACACTGTAACAGACTCCAACATAACCAAAACTCTCCATGAGCAGGGTCTAGGCCTGACAAATTTACCCAACGTAGCTCGTAAGTGAAAGTGGCTAAAACAAAGATTGTACATGCCATCAGACCTTGTAGTCGAGGCCATAATCTGAATTTAACAGATTTATGTACATTGAAAATTCTTTAGTGGGTATTTGTGGGTGTGGGCATGCAAACTTGAACACAGCTCAGAGGAGAATATGAGAGGACTTTTAGGCTTAAACCTGGTCAAAATTACGCTATTTCGAGTTGAAATTTGAATGTCTGGTAGGGCTGGGTGATAAAACGCTATAATTATGATTATACAAATTTACCTTGATAGAATTTTAAGATACGTTGATATAACTTTGCTATAACTCAGCAGAACACAACAGCCATTGAAATAGTGAAAGAATAGTGCCACGCCGAACCAATCATGTGGCTAGAATAGGTCAGGTTAGGTTGATGCACACAGCAAGTGTGTAGGAGGAGCAGCAGCACATGTCTTAATTGTTTGGGTGGACGACTATGCATCGATGTAGTGACTGAATATAATAATCATGTTTTCTGCTACATTCATAGTTTTAGCAGGTTTCCACTGCTGAATAATTATAACCACCGCTTCTTCAGGATCAGGACAGACATATATTAAAGGCCGAGTCGTCCTGTGTCAGAGTCTCTGTCGGAGTCTGTTTCCTCCTCCTCCCGCAGATTAATAATAATAATAATACATTTTATTTCAAAGGCGCCTTTCTGTCAACCAAGGACGACGTTTTAACTTCACTGTTGCAGAAAAAACGACGCCCGGCTTATCCAGGAACATAAATATGAATTCATCAGGTTTTTAATTCAGATCAGTTCTACGTTTTAGTGATTACAAAGCATCAGAGGAGCAGAGTCACTTGTTGACCTGCGGACTAATGCGCATCAGTGGTGCTTATTTAAGTTAAGATAAAATTATATTGATCCACACACTGGGTAAATTCAGTTGTTACAGCAGCAGACAGGTCAGAATGAGGTAGATGAGAGAACAAAGAAATAAAAAAAAGGCAATAGAATAACATAACATAAAATAAAAAATAAATAAAAATGTAATTAAAAAATGCTGAATATGTACATTATATACACTCTAGTGGTTTGTAAGAAATGTTATAAGTTAAGTGTAGTGGCACAGGATGATTGAATGAGTAAGTAAAATCTGTTTTGTGCATAAGAAAAAACTTTTGTACATAAGAACATTGTAGATAATCATAAATTTGCCCAAAATTATTTTCTGGTTATTAATTTGATATATATTGATATCAACTGACATGAAAAAAAATTGTCGTGTAAGGTTTTTTTCCATATCGCCCCACCCTATTATTGGGTCTCTGGACACTTGGATGACACCCAACGAGCAGTATGGAGGCATGTTATGGTTTTTATTAGATACCTTAAGATTTACTTTGAGGACACAAGCAGGTAATTCGGTCAGGACCCATCTCACCCCCTCCACCAGTCCTTCATGTTACTGCCATTAGGCAGACATTACCAAGACCTTCTTGCTCGGAAAAACATCTACAAGAAATCCTTCCTTCCCTTTGCAATAACCACCCTTAACAATTTAAAACAAACTGTATTTTACCCTAGTGAGTATTGTTGAGCCTTGTTATTATATATGTATCATTTGTCTTAAAATGTGACTTATGTGTGAATATTTGAGCCCAGTCAAAAGGAACATTTGTCACATTAGGACAGACAAAGTTTATCTAAGCTTTAATTTGAATCTGTCTAAAATCTACTTTTTTAAACTGGGTCTGATTCCGAATTGTGGCCTGTCTATAGTCAGACAGGCCACAATTCTGTGGTAAAGATGAGCTTAACACAAACTCTAGCAATCCAGAATATGTAGTGTAAAGCAGCACGAGGATTCTTAAGCTCCCTAAATAAAGAGAAAACATGTATTTTATAAATGAAGCATTGGGTTTGTTTAAATTTAATACATACCCTGCAATGATGCTGAACTGTTGATAGTTGGCGCTGTGCTGCTGTCCTCCAGTTCATCCAGGTAAAGTCTGTAGCGATGGCCACTGTCGTCTTCATACTCCACATTCTCATCATCGCTGTCCACCTCTGGAGCCACATAAACCACTTCAAACTCTATCTGTCCTTGCTAGAACAGACAAACAGGATGAGCACATTAAGAGACAAAAAGTAGTGTGAACATGTGTGCACACCTACAGTATATTACCTGCTGGGACAAAATAGTGACCGCCTCTTTGTGTTTAGCATCTCGCAAATTAATGCTGTTGACAGCAAGGATGGCATCTCCAACATGCAGACCTCCACATCTGTCTGCTGGCTGACTTGGATGGATCTCTGAAATTAGAATGGGAACACCATGCTCCTTCCCACCCTGATGAGAACACACATACAATTCTTAACTCCTCTGGATGAGTGCATCAATTTTAAGGCAATTTTATGTTGATGTGAGGAATGTTTTAGTAATCTGACAGCGGTATTAACCAATGACATCATGGCAGCTCCCAAAAATGAATCCAGAACATCTAGTAGTTGGCTGCAGTTCAGGTCATGAACCTGCCTCATCCATGTTAGTCAATAGTACATTGACCAAACTAAAAAGTTTAATTTTAATTTTGATTAGAAATCAACAGATTAGCTTCAGATGTATAATTTGTCTTCATTTCTGTACAGTGGGAGTGAGTGTAAACGTGTTGTCCATCTTTATTTTGTTATTGGTGTTGACCAATCAATAGGACTGCCAACACTTTTGTCTATCTTCACAGTAACTCACATCAAATCAGACTGCACTTTTACAGGGACTCTGTTTGCTTAGTTTCCTTTTCTAATGTGCCTTCAGACAGTGAACAAATGCCACTCCATTCTCTTCCTGCAACACAGAGACTGATTTTAAATTGGCCAAATGTAGCCAAAAACAGCCTCCTCCAATCCCTCAATAGCCCTGTAGCATTCATCAAAGGCTGCAAGCATCTACCTACAGTAATCTAATCATGAAGCTAAATGGAGTGGGCTGTGGCTTTAAATAGAGGGAATAGTTATCCATGTGACTAAAAACATCATATATAATAATATCATCAATATCATCACATCATCATTAGGTCCAGACCAGATAACCACACTCATTTATCTTCATTAAAGGAGACATATTATGCCTTTTCAGTATATGCCTTTGTGTGTGTAGGTGTGCATACTTAAAACTACTTAACATTTAAAAGTCTTCAGAGGAGCTCCTCTCTCCCACAGAAAACGCTGCTCCTGAAATTGCTGAATCACCTCATCATCACTTTCTCTAATACGTCCACACCTTTGACGTCACGTTGCCTATAATCAGTATAATGAACGCCTGGCAGCTAGTCTGTCACACCACTAACAATGAGTTTTCTCTGTATATAATTTCAAAAAATGATGAGTCAAAAATTCAATGGTTAAAATGCATTTTTCAATAATACAACCCCAACCTGGTATAGTGTTCACCTCACTTCACCAAGAACTGCTAGCACATCCATGTTAGCTGGCTGATTGATTCATTTTTTGCTTCTGTATTTCATAGTACATCACAGCAGACTCCTGTCTGTGAACAAAATAAATCATACCTAGCAACTATATACATGTTCCAAGATATGGTTTGCCCAGCGGACCCTCCACAAACCATCTCAGTGGGCACGTGGGGGAGGGTGGACAGGGACAGAGCGAAACTCTTCTGCGTTGCATGCGTTTTGTACACCTCAGGATGATAAACGTGTCACATCCTGTGTCTGTCACATCCTGTGTCTGTCACATCCTGTGTCTGTCACATCCTGTGTCTGTCACATCCTGTGTCTGTCACATCCTGTGTCTGTCACGCAAGTGCGGACCACAAGGTGAAAATTTTATGTAAATTGAATTAAAGTTTTAAAACGAGGCTTAATTCCTGTTGCCAGTAAGTGGCGCTATCACTACCACAAGATACAGACTAATAGATCTGTTCAGGTTGGGGCTGTGACTCTGATCATAGGTTTTAACTTTGGAGATTGAACAATCCACAGTGGTGTTAAAAAAAACTTCCTGTTTGATGGTGAATCAGTAGGTAGGGCTATGACCCTGCATTAATATATGTGAAATAGGGAGCTGTTCAGGCCTGGACTCTGATCATGTGACACCATTTTGGTGCTGATTGAACAACGCAGAGTTATAATAAATCCCTCTTTTTTGGTGAATCATCAAACTTTGACACCTTGCCACGTTCACACCGTGTGACGTACACTAACGAAATGGTAGTTTTAATCTCCATGTTGTTAAGATGACACTCACTGAATTTGAAGTTGATCTGATGAAATCTCTAGGAGGAGTGCGTTCAAATACACAAGTAAAATGGCCACTAAATCAAAAATGGCAGACTTCCTGTTGCATTTTTCATAATGCTCCTTGAGACATTTTTGTTTGTATGGTCCTGCCTGCTAGTGTAACGACTAAATTTCCCTGGTGTGTGGATCAGTCAAGTTTTATCATTATATCATCTTAACTTATATATATATGCACAGCGCTATTCTCTTTTTCACTTTTTTGGCAGCAAATATTTTACCCATCTGTCTAAACACAGTAAAATGCAATTCAGTCCGTCAGCGGACATGTCATGCAGAAAAAATTAAACAGTAATGTTACTAACCACTCTGAAACATCCTGCTCCAGTCTTCTTTTTTTTTGGGACTACCGGCTCCTCTCTGTTCCTATCGGACTCTGTGTTAAACTGGGCTTGTTAGAAATTTGAAATTCTTATTTTTAGCTTAAGCAGCTCGGCAGCTCAGCCTGTAACCTACTTCCGCTAATGCTCAATGGGCGAGACACTTCCGATATGCGTTGGAAGCAGTTAACCAGTCACAAGAGGTTGGACCAGCTGGCTAATCAGTTCAGACAAGCTTCTTGTGCAAGAGTGTTTCAGAGAGAGCATCAGAGTTAGTTGCAGCAAAAGACAGTATGAAGAAACAAACGTTTTCTGAACTTGCATCAAAACACATGGAATTGGTGGCTACTTAAAATAAATCGCTTGTGTATCTTCAAATGGGTGTCATGGCCACTAAGAGAAAGAAAAAACTTTTAATTATTTTTTTTTCTCTTACTGTGATGGAGATTCCCAGCCCCTCATGATCATCTTTTACTAGCACCACCTTCCTGATAGGGCCTACTCCCTGGGTTTTCTTCAGTAGGTCTGGGTCCTGTAATTACATTCACACATAAAGACAACCTTGATAGCACAAATAAAATGTATCAACAGTTTCACTTGCTCTTAAGTTTTACACTCACATGCCCCACCGGAGAGGTGAGAGGTTTCTTAGGATCATTGCGACCTCTACATGCTCGGATGACAGTCTTATGACGGTGAAGGTGAATCTCTGCCTCCAGCTGGTTCCAAAGCTTGTCATGAGCTGGCCCTTTCATGTCACGGCCTAGTAACTGGATCTGCTGCACTCTAGAAGACAAACTCCAAAAAATCTGCTTGGCATTTCAGCCTATCTACACATTGCATACACTGCACCTAGAAATGTTATAAATTATTGCACTTATTATTATTATATATATTATATTATATTATATTATATTATATTATATATATATATATATATATATATATATATATATATATATTATGTAAAACTGTAAAATTCCTCACCTTCCAGCCAGTTCCTTGTCCAGGTATTTAGCAGCCAGTCTGGCGCCATACACTTCGGCCTGCAGTACTGCCATGTGCCTGCGAAGGGCCTCGTTTTCCTTCTTATATAGTCTCACTTCAGTATCCAGCCTTGCCTCTACTAACTTCTCCTTCTTACTAGCCTCCAGCTCCTGTTCCTAAAAGAAGCACATCACACACACAGGTCAAACACAACTCTTGATGTCGAACAAAGCACCTCATAGAAGAGGTGGTTTTCACAACAGTTGACACACGAACCTATTTCATTAATATGCCTTTGCCTTTGTTTCTACTTGGAAAGGGGAAGTGATTTGGTAAGAATTATTTGAAACTACAGCTACATTTCTCAGATTGAATATATCTGAATGTATATCAGATTGTTTCAATGGTCTGTATTTGTGTAGCACTTTTCTATGCTTTAAGACCACTCAAAAGTAAAGACTAGTCACTGTCAAGAGCTTTACATGACTGTTTTAGTTTTTTAATTCAAAATGTCCCCCTTTATGTTTCTATCCTTCCACTGCAAATCAGAACAGAGGAAATGTTTTCCAGATGAATGTGTTTTTTTCTTTTTTACTGCAATTTAATGATAATTAGAATTCAGTTTGATAAATCTAGCCTATGTGAGAATAAAATAAAACTAACAAAGTAACTGAGCTACATTTTGATGGTACAACCTCATTAACCAAGTGTGTCCCAGTATACACATGCTTGTAGACATTTGACCACTTTTGGCAAGTGCTGGAAAAGCTTCACACAAGTAGACACCAATCAATTGCCAATACTGCAGGTGACAGAAAATTGATGTCTGGCAGTCTAGAAGAGAAAGGAGAAAGCTACAACTCTTGTCTCTCTCCTTTCTTCCTCTGACTTTAAGTATCACTGACTGTCAAGTCTAGCTACAAAAGCCGTCAATTACATGGAGACTGTGAGTGTTTTTCAGCAGGATTATGCAAAAACTACCTGGTGGATTTCCATGAAACTTGGGACAAGAAAACACTATCCGTATTTTTTTTCACTTTCAATAACATTGTTGTTGACATTTTTACCAATTTCCCAGTAAAAAGAAAGGCAAATTTAGGGGCTAATTTCCGTAAGTGTCTTCTATGGTTTAATTTAATTTATAGAAACTGATATTCCTTGCAGGCAACACAGTGGTGCAGTGGTTACTGCCATTGTGACCACACAGTGAAGGTTCGACCGGGGTCTTTCTGGGTGGAGTTTGCATGTTTTCCGACAGTCAAAAAACATGCAGACTGGGGAATTGGAGACTCCAAGTTGACCATGAGTGTGAATGGTTGATTGTCTCTATATAGCTGTACATGCACTGAACTCCTCTTTGCCCTAAACTTACCAACTTTTCCACTGGTGGTGTTGGCTTAAGGGGGTAAAAGAGGAAGAGCAGAGAGACGTCAGGGATTGCAGAAATTCGACAGAGATGTAAGTATTTTAACCAATTAAGTGGTGGCTATATAGCAAATATGGACCTCAGAGTTGGGAAAAGGTATAATTAAACACATTGGAAGTAATGAGAGAGCAGGAATAGGCAGCAAAGAAACAGCAGCGATGTCATGTGACAACTTAACATCTCACAATGTTTTTGCACTTATGTTTTTGTGTGTCATTCTGTTTCTGATGTATCACACTATTGTTGTTGTTTGTAAATATTATTAATTGCATTAAGATTTATTTGTATCAAAGCTTTCAGACAAAAATGAAGATCAAAACTTGACAACATAAAGTTAAAAACAAACACATTAGACTGAAAATCACACTTGAATTGCAAAGCATTGTCAGTAGAGAAAGTAAACATTTGGTCAAATGATCTACATGCAAATGTTTATGTTAGGATAATGTTGCTGTGAAAATAAAAATATACAGGAGTTAGGGTCATTTTAAAAGGATGTAGGGAGAAGCATTTGAACTTGTGTTGAAATTGGAATTAATGTTACCAATCTACTTAATTCACCTGAATAAAACCAACTAACCAGCATCATGATGGACGGCCACGTTTAACATAGCAGTTCCACACAGGACCTTTTGTTCAAATGATATCTGGGGATGAAAGCCATGGAACTTCAATCAGTCCACTGGTTAAAGCCTCCATGTGTCACATTCTCTTGGATTCCAAAATCACAGAACCTCTTTGTGAAGTAGATTTTTTTAGTAACGACAAGATCATTGACATTACAATGACAAAGACACACAAAAGTGCCTTGCTGCTAGTGCCATAAAAATTCATAAATGCGACAGTAGTTTCTTGGGTGTAGTAAGTGTTCAGTGGGCTCACTGAACCCCCTAATGGCCATAGCAAAAAATGAAAAAGAAACAATTATCTATTGTAAAGTCCTGCTCTATAATAATAAATACGAAGGGTAAACCAATTGTGTGACTGAAGTAAAACTTAAATCAACACATTTTAAATGCTGTCCATAGCATCTCCTTCTCCCACCTACCAGTCTGTCCTTGATGGTGTCAGAGTCCTCAGCTTGGCCTTGTTTAGTGTGAAGCTGCAGCTGAAGAGCATGAAGCTGCAAGAGCTGGTCATGGACCTCTCTTTCTACCACCGCCCGCTCTGCTTTGGCCTCAGTCAGCTCAGAACGCAGGTCAACCAGCTGAGCCTATAGTTGAGGGGATGATCAATAGAGAGAAAGAAGAAAGAGCTCAATAGGGAAAGACACCAGAGGTAAATATGGTCAGATGCAACTGTGTGTGTCTGTGCGCTCCCACACAGCGCAGACACACAGGCCCGCCCCCCTCCTCCACTCACTCGCTCAGAGCGACATACACAGTGAGATCAGAACTCGTTCATGAAGCAGCAGGTCAGAGACTTAGTTGAAAAACAGTGGAAACAGTGAAACACAGTTTCTCTCTGGTCATAGCTGCTCAGTGATCAGCTGCTTCATGATCAGAGCAGAAGCTGCAGTTGGTTTGTATCGAGCTGGAGTTTCTGTTTCCTCCTCCTCTCTATATAAACACTCATCATTAGTTATCAGGACCTGGTGTGTACATGAAGTAACTCAGTGTTTGTTTGATTCCAGAGTTTATGCGACTCATTTAAACATCATGAAAAATGACTCGCCAACATGTTGTGCTCAGTACAACATGAGACGAGACGCTCACAGTCAGGACTAAAATGACCGGAGCGACATGATCCAACACCATCGAATAATAACTAAACACATGATCGTAAGTTTGTTAATAAATCATCCAAATAAAAAATTAACTTTGAACCCGTTCTTTTTAATTGTGCACTGACACAACACTGCAAACAGCAGCTACTGCACAACAGCCAACATTGACAGGCAGAAGTAGTAGAACTGGATCATCACACTCCTGTGAGCAATCCTGCATGAGACTGAGGTTAGGACCGCCTTTACTCGTTTACATATGGACACAGAAATACATAAATAAATACATGTGGAAATAAATGTAAGTCATTTATGCATTTTCAAAGTTATTTATACATTTATTTATTATTACTTAAGTCGTTTCTGGTCCTCCATACAGATAAGTGACAATACATCAGTGGATCATGATGCCAAAAGCCAGTGAGTCTGCATGACATATCAGTACAGTGCAGCGTTAACCGTGCATTGCACATAACTTGCTGACCTCTAGTTTGTGGTTGAGTTGGAAGACCGTCTGGGTTTTATGACACAGCTGAGCAAAACAGGAGCTGAGGCTGGTCATCTTCTGTCGACCCTCATACGTAATGTCGACCTGATCTGGGTCTATTTCTCCGAGCAGGAGATCCACGTCCACAAATGCCTTGTCAAATTCTTTCTCCAGCACTTCTAGCCAACGAAATATGGTAATTCCGGGGCCCGGGCCCGAGCTATGGCCCGCCGGGGAGCATCCAGCCGAGGCGGACATGGCGTGAGTACAGCACAGCACAGCACAGCCTTACCGTTAGCGTTAGCCTACTAGCCAATTTTGATCGTGACCAACGTTAACGGTTATCCTCTCTTTTAGCCAATAATAAGAAAGAAAATAAAAAAGAAATAACGAAAGAATCCGATAACTGAACTGTGTATTGGGTTCGTGGAGTAAAGTCTGACAAAATGCGTTTTCAAATTCTGACGAAAAACAATCAAACCAGGAAGTCACCACACTGGGCTCCCGACTAAGTCTGGGATATCTACTTTGGTCTGCCTATCTGAAGGGAGGAGCAGTGGATAACAGAGCTGTACTCTTCTTCTATCAATTGGTGCTAGTTGGCAAACAACTTACAGTTGCACTACCGTCATCTTCTGGAAAGGAGTGTAGATCATTTTCAGTATTCCCTCATACATTTCTCCACTGCATGTTCTGTAATATATATCTAATAAATGTTCCTAATTGTTATCAAATTACCTCTGTGATGTATTCAAGCAACAAAATATGCATTGAGTTGCTGACATTTTTTATGTAACTAAAAATATTAAAAATATATATATACTGTATATTTGAATTGTCCTATTTTATCAAATCTGATTGATACTGTGGGACAGCATGCTCTGGGTATTCCTGGACAGTTATTTAACTTCTCTAAATGGGGAAAATATGCATTTAGGGACTTCCTGAGGCAAAACAAATTTGATAAACTAAAGAGATGTAGCATATGATCTGCAGTTGACAGACAGTGTTATTGGTAAATACAGTATGTCCCTGTCTGTTTAAACTGATAGTATGGTTAGCTAACTATTCCATATTCAGTTAGTTCCAAGGACAGAGCTGATCTAAAAAAGAACCGAAGAGTCTTTCCTGTGGTCTGCAGCCATTAGTTTCACCAAACATGTGGAAAAGACAATAATGATGAGAGGTCTCTCACTGTTTGTTCCCAGAGTAGCCCCATTAGAATGACAAATTATTTAATTAATCCTTTTTATTTTTATTACTTGCTGTTGATTGAATTTCAAATGTTTAAAATGCGATCCACCTTTGATAGAA